CCCCAAGTTGGGTGCCCCCTGCGGGCGAAGCAGCCCCGCCGGGGTGGGGAGGGTCCCGGGTCCCCGGCGATGCTCGCGGGGCTTCCGCCCAATTTCCTGCCTCCGACTCGGCCGGAGCAGTTTGTGCAATTTAGAAACTCGATAGGAGGCAGCAGCTGATCTCCTACCAGCCTAAAAATAATTCACTCCGGCTGCGCACACTGCGTGCTTCGACTGGGAGAACTCTGTCATCCGAGAGAGTGAGTCCGTGACTTTTACATAACTATCATTAAGAAACTTTAAGAGTAACGGCAAACTGTTGTTTTCGAGCTAATATTTCGGCAACCTTCGGGCGCCCGCGCACTCTGTGCTCTCTCCTTGCAGGATGAGAGCGCAGGGCCCGGCTGGAGCGGAGAGCGGGTTGGGGATCAGGTTTCCAGTTTTGCTTCCAAAACTCTGCCGGCTCTCACTTTAACTAACGGGAAACGGGCAAAGGTGTTACTCGTTTTCTTTTTCCTCTTAGACGTTTCCTGTATTTTTCACGAAGTAGCTTTCTGCCTGCTTACTGTTTGTTACTCTTCGCTTTTTAGGAGTTGTGTGTTCTGGTTTGAGATTTACATCCTAAGACAGTGTAGAAACTCCTGCCTCAAAGGTAGCACAGCTGCACCCTAGGGGGCTGAAGTATCGTGGAGCCCAAGGTATTTATTGGTTGATGTTTGCTTTATTTTTCGGTTTTCATTTCAATGTCTAAGAAATCTTTTCTACTGAGTGGTTCTAGTATTTCCTTTGATATGCAAGAGAACTGCTCAGCCTTTGAAGGGTAAATGGGTAGATCCAGACCAGGCAGTAAATCAAGTCATTTTTGTGAGTAAATTCGATCTTTATTTGCCTAGCCAGCTAGCCAGATAGATAGCCAGACATCTAGAGAGCTAGATAGACATCTAGTCCTTGTTTTAAGAAATATCCAATAAATAACTTCAAAGAATTTACTGTAGCGTTTATTTCTGCAAGTGATCTTTACCTTGAGAATTATCTACATTCTTTAATGTCATGTTTCTCTCATAATTCAGTTAATCTCTGAGTAACTAGCGAGTAAATTGACCTGTGAGAACCCAAGCTTTCCTCTGGCGTATAACGTGCCTTTTTTTCCCAGGTGTTTCTAGCATTTGAAGTGGTCTGAAATTGCAATTCTATCACAACTGGCATTTTGTGTTGGGTGGACAGGAAAGAGTGAATAGAAATTCAGAGTCTATTTCCAAAGGACGGAGCTGGCAAAAATAAATGGTGTAGCCAATTTGCTTTAATACATCGACATTTTTTGGAATTAAATCAGATAACGGTTCTCTTAGGATGAATAGAGCTGATGAATCAATTATTATATTCATCAACTAAATGCATATTTTTCAGTCCTAGGGAATGTAGAATGTCATATAATGCATTTCAAGAAAAAAACAATACCAATGCTGCAATTCTTGCCTTTGAATCTTAAGTTGATTCATTAAGATATATTTTCATTTTACGTTCTGCAGACCACCCCTGTCATCAAAGCTTCACTTTTGATATTTTTCTTTAAAATGTATCGGGTCAAGTTCTCCAGCCCCATCCACTGTCATACACGGTTGACTGTCTTTCAGAGGGTTTATACCTATGGTGAAGAAATGCTGTTTCTCCCTCTGACGCCTCTTCCTTCTCCCTCCGGAATGTGGGCCTCAGTGGGCCTCAGGCAGCTCCCTAGGGGTGGTCCTAGAGAATGTCAGCACACAGAGCGCCTCCAGGGAGAGCAGTGGTTTGTGTCTCTCCTAAAAATCCCTAAGCTTACCTGGGCTCTGGAGAGGAGCTGAAAGGCAGCTGGAAATTTAAGAATCAGACAGCTTAATTGAGTAAAATGTCTTTGGTACACAATAAATATCAACATTATGTGTAATAAGTTTACTCTTTCTTTTTGTCCACGCTGGTTCCAAATGCGGGTTGACTGCTAGAATGTGCCACACAAATGGGGGTTGTGGATAAGGAGGTCAAGGGTCAAGGGTCAAGGGGAGAGAGAGGGGGCAGCCAAAAAATGTAAAAAAATGTGGAAAAAAAAAAAAAGACCTGTGGTAAGAGGTAGAGGCCAGGCTGGGAGCAGCGAGGGGAGATGTGTAGTTAGAGATATGGAAAAAGAAAAAAATCATTCCAAATCAAGTGTGGCCTTAAGTTCCCATTTATCACTTCTACTAAATAAAGGTTAAAATCTTATTAGTAGAGGTTACTTTTTAGTTTCTGATTTTTTCCACCTTTACCAGAAAAACCTAACTTTAACATGCACATATGAATTAGTAGCTTACATTTTAGTGTTATTTAAAAATCTCAAGGGACTCTAAATTTTTTATCACACTTAGAAGTTTAATAATTGGCAGTGGTTTACCGAGTATACAACTGCATCCTGAGTTTTTTAAACATAGAAATTTTTTAAAGATAAGAAAAGGTCTCAACTACAGAGCATATCAGTAAGGTATCAAAAAGGTTTATCAAAAATAATATGTGAATGCAATTATATAGAAGCATTTTGATTTATAAAACACTGGCTTTTAGTTGGTATGTTCTTGTACTGCTTTATGAAACCTCTGACTGTAATTTGATTTCCCCAATAATTTATTTTTGCCATTGTTTTCAGTGTAATATTTCTTGTTTTTTTCCTAAGAAAAATATTGTTCATGACCATTGCCAAGTCAATCATCAATGAAAAGAAAAAGAGGAAAAATATTATGTCAGTTAATCAAATTTTGGCCAGCTGTTAAAATCTGGCTCAGAATCCAGTGTGATATAAATATGGAAAAGAAACAAAGTCCAGTGACATTAAAATCTTAAATTGCTACTTGTTTTAATAAGAACAGATAAGATCATTTCTTTAAAAAAAAAAACGAGCTGGAGCTGCATGATGCAGTGGAAAGAACATAATTTATAAATCAGACATGTGGGTGTGGATGCTGGATTCTCCTCTGGTTGACGAGTGACTGCATTGCTCTGAACCTCAGTGTCCTCTGCTGTAAACTGCAACAACCACAGTCCTTACAAAGCTCTTCTGAGGACTTAAGAAAATAGATGAAAAGTGCCCACAATCTTAGTAGGTACCACAAGAGCAATAAGTGTTATGAGAGAGGTTTTCAAAGTGCTGAAACGTGCTGGAATTTCTTGGATAGGATAACCCTTGCTCTTCTGCGGTGTTTGAGCACAGTCAGGAAAAGGGTCCTTTTAAATCAAGGCATGTCCCTCCTTCGCTCACAACCCCACCCCTACCCAGAGGCTCCAGTCCATTTAGAGCAGAAGCCAAGGTCCTGAGAAGGACCTGCAACAAATCCGGTGGGATGCTATCCTGCCTTTGCTCCCTGACCTCATCTACTTCTACTCTAATGGAATACAGACTTCCAATTTAAAGCTAAGCTCTCCTTTGTTTCAAAACTCCACTAGAGTATCTTTCCTTGGAGAATATTTCTGATGCCAAGACCTGGGTGGTTTCATTAACTTGTCCCTTGAGTTCCACTTAATTTGTGGGAAGCGCTTGAAGTTAATATTCTTCAGAGAAGGGCTGATTGGCAGCCATGTTGGTCTCTTTGTATCACTATTTTTGCCCAGGTAAAGTTTAATTGCATTATTATCAGTGAAGGAACATGAGAAATGATTTTATATTGTACCATTTTGAATTTTCAATCATTGGTTTTGTTTCTATGCTTCCTTTTTCTGGAGTCACCATTTCTGTTCTGATGTCTTTGTGGTATGTCACCGTTTTTGATCTTTGACATCATTTTAGGCAGACTGGCACTCTTTTGAGAGGCCATTTTAGGTAGATATTATCATACATCTTCTAAATTAAAATATTTGTTTCTTTAAAAAAAGACTATGTAAAAGAAGACCATATAGACCATGTAAAGTCTTTATAAAAAACTTTCAAGTTACTTTGGCATAGTTTTTTATTTTCTCAACTGCAAAAAAGTGGGGGATTAATTTTATGACATAATTCCCTTTTAAAGCCATAATTTTATGAAAGAGGGTATAACAGTAAAAGAGTCTTTTATTTCTTTTTTTTCTGTTTTAGAATAAATTATATTTAGAAAAAATGAGTCTTTCATTTTGTGGTAACAACATCTCTTCATACAATATCTATGACGGTGTGTTACAAAACCCCTGCTTTGTGGATGCCCTCAACTTGGTACCTCATGTGTTCCTGTTGTTTATCACTTTCCCCATATTGTTTATTGGTAAGTAATCTAATGTCCTATGTTCTTTGACCTACTATTTTATGTCTTGTGAATGGCTGAGATTGAGAGTAATATTGCATTAGCACATAAAAGCTAATGTGTATGTCTATGAGAAAAGCATAAACATATACTCTGTGAACACTATCTCAATTATATATTTTTGGCATATGAAATTTCATAGACTAGCAGTCACGTCACCAGCTAAGCAGTAAGATGGGTTAGGTAGAACCCTTGAATATATTAGCATATGAAAAGAGTTTATGAACAAGACCTCAGTGACACAGAAACTATCACAAAGAATCAACAACTGGGATCTCATCTTATTAAAAAGCTTTTGTTGGGTCAAATGGGATATCCAATCCTGGTTCTTTGAGGTATCTCCATTCTGATTTCCATAGTGGTTGTACCAGTCTGCACTCCCATGAACAGTGGAGCAGGGTTCCTTTTTCCCCACAACCCCTCCAGCATTTGTTATTGTTTCATTTCTTGAGAGCAGCCATTCATTCTGGGGTGAGGTGGAATCTCAGTGTTGTTTTCATCTGCATCTCTCAAATGACCAGTGATACTGAACATTTTTTCATGTGTTTATCAGTATTTCTACTTTGAGAAAAGTCTGTTCATTTCAGATGCCTGTTTTTGGACTGGACCTTTAAATTTGGAAGGTCTGATTTTTCAAGTTCTTTATGTATTCTGATAGTAGACTTTGTTTGAGGAACAGCTGGTAAAAATTTTTTTTCCCACATTGTGGGTTGTCTGTTAGCTCTGTCAGTGGCCTCGCTATGCAGAAGCTTTTTAATAAGAAATTCCAGTCATTGAGTCTTTGTGCTAGTTCACATACAACTGAGGATTTGTTCATGAAATTTTTTCCTACACCAGTGTCTTCAAGAGTTCTATCTACCCTCTCTTCTAGCTGGTTTAGTGTTTCTGTTTTAATATTTAGAACTTTAATCCATTTCAATTTTAGTTTAGTGCATGGTGAGAGATGAATGCATGGTGAGTTTTAATCTTTGACAAGCTAAAATCTAATTTTTCAAGCACCATTTATTAAAGAGGCTATCTTTCCTCCAGTGAGAGTGTTTGGCTCCTTTGTCAAAGATGAGGTGGCCAAGTGTGTCTGGAGTTGTTTCTGCATCTTCTCTTCAGTTTTACTGATCTTGCTGGGTATCATCCCAAAAGAATTAAAAGAATCATAACGCAGCGATATATGTGCACCCATGTTCATAGCAGCACAGTTAGTAATAGCTAAAACTTGGAAACAGCCTATTTGCCCATCAACTGGAGATGGATAAAGACAAAAAAACTTACATAAAATGGAGTAATACTCAGCCATAAAGAATGAAAAACTAGAGACATTTCTAGCTAGATGGATGCACATTGAGGTGAAACTCTTAAGTGAAATACATAGGGCACACATGTGTAAATACCAAATAGTTTCTCTGGTGTGAAAAACTGAAATTGTAAATAAGGATCAAAATGTGTAATAGATAATGTGGAATAGGAAGAAAAAATTCAAAGGGGAACTGGTAGGTGTAGAGAAAAGAAAAGAAGAGAAAGGAGTAAATATGAGAAATGGAAAAAATGGAAACAAAGTCTTTGTAAATAGGGAACAGTGGAGGGGTTGAATGGAGGGCAGGGGAATGGGGAAAAAGTAAGACCCAAGATAGAATATGTAAAGGTACAAATTCCCAATAATGAATATCAGGGTTGTGTATACCTAAAATGTACCAATAAAATTAATGAATGAAGAAAAAGCTTTGGCATAGCAAAAGAATCCACCAGCAGAGTGAAGAGACAACCCATAATGTGAGAAAAAAAATTTTACCAGCTGTTCTTCAGACAAAAGTCTGTTACTAGGATATAGAAAGAACTTGAAAAAAAATCAGACCTCCCAAATTTAAAGACCCAATCCAAAAATGGGCATTTGAAATGAATAGATAATTCTCAGATGAAGAAGTAGAAATAGCAAACATGAAAAAATGCTTGACATCACTGATCATTTGAGAGATGCTCACTCCAGAAAGAATGGCTGCTATCAAGAAATCAACCAATACCAAATGCTGGCGAGGTTGTGGGGAAAGAGGAACCCTTCTTCACTGTTGTTGGGAGTGCAACCATTGTGGAAATCAGTGTGGGGATTCCTTAAAAAATAAAACTAGAGTCATTTATAGCTAAATGGGTGCACTTTGAGACCATACTATTAAGTGAAATAAATAGGACACACAGGTGTAAATACCAAATTGTTGCTCTGGAGTGTGAAACAAAGTATAAATGAGGACTAAAATATATAATAGATATTGTGAAATAGAAAGAAAATCTTCAAAGGGGAAGGGGAACTAAGGAAAGAGGCAGGGAGAAGCAAAGAAGGGAAAGAAAAAGAAAAGAAGGAAATAATGGCAACAAAGCATTTGTAAATAGGAAGTGGTAGAGGGGAGGAATGGGGGAAAATATAAGAGCCAAGATATTTCATGTACAGGTACAAATTCCCAAAGATGAATGTGATCATAGTGTTCACCTAAATGGTATCAGTAAACTCAATGAATTAAAAAGATCAAGGAGATAGTTCTATTAGATAGATCTATGGCATTTATTGAACACTTGCTTTGTGCTAGAAGGGAATGGAAACTTGGTAAAACCAACTACTGCACTTGTCTCCCAAGACTAGTCTAGAGAAGCAGATATGTCAAGAGAAGTGAGTATATCCCACTGTTGGCCCATTTTCAGGTTTAGGAACAAATTACCTTGGGCATTAACCTGAGGAAACAACTAACTGTCCTTGAGGCTGGTGAGAAGGATTGAACAGAGTGACATATTCGGGGATAGAAATGGAATCTGCAAGTTAAAGCAGGATGATGGGCTATGTTTTAGGTAGGATGAGTACATGTGAAAACTTTGGAAAGGAACTAGAAACAGTTTCTTCTATTAGTTTGTACATATGTACAAAATCCAATTATTTGGGGGTAATCATGTATAATTTATGGAATTTCCTCCAAACAACCAAAACAGACTCTTTAACTTTTGAAAAGTAGTGAAACATTTTTGCTGTACAAAATGATTCACATTAACTATACTAACCACCCACTGAACCGACTACCACCACCCATCTGAAGGAATATAGTAGTAAGAATAAAAGCAACTTCTCTGTGTAGTATTTTCTGGTCCTGTTCTTTCTTCTCACATCTGTTGCTTGTATGCCTTTACAAGAGGTAACTACTATTTTGAATTATTTCATGTTTAATGTTCCCAAGAATGATTTTGCTAATGACAAAAGGCAGAAAAGTTGCTGGACTGGTTTTCCTAAGAAAGCTAGCATCAGTCTAACAATCATTTAACAATTAATTGAGAGGATACCATGTGTTTGATATTCTAAACAGATAAAAGAATTTCGGTCATATGGTACATTCAGAGGCCAACATAACTCTTGGTACATTGTTATTTATGTTAAACAAATGTGTAGGCCATAAACATATAGGGGCTGGAGTGCCATATGTGGAAACACTAGTCATTATTTATATAATAGTATTTGTAAAGTGTTAAGAAATCTTTTTATGAAACCAGAAGTAGAAGATGAGTATTTTATCAATATTAATTGGAATTCTATGATTCATAATTCATTTTTAGATATTTCGTGAACTTCTTGAGAGCCAGAATTGTGACATTTCTTTTTTAGTCCAACACAGAGGCTGGCAGTGAGAATATTTGAATAGAAAGGAATCAGAGAGGGCACCAGCAGTGGGACATACAAAAAAAAAAAAAACTCAGGCTGTCATTTAAGGCATTGGCTTTTGAGTCAGGGAGGGATTATACATAGATTTCAAAGAAGTATCGGGTATTAAGAAAACTCCAATGTTGCAAAACAGACACAGAACTTGCCTGTGAGAGATTATAGCATAAATTCTACTAGAATATATTCAATATGACTGGCCTTCCAGTGACTAAGTACATTTGGAAACGACTAAGACAGGAGTCACTTTTCTTTACAAAGAACGCTCAGGAGTCCCCTTTGCCTACACGGAAATTCTCTCCTGCAGTATTTCAAGTACAGCCCCCATCCTTCACTTTTGAAGTGTGCAAGACTTTTCTAGCATCAGAAAAGAGATTAAAAAAAAAGATAAAAACAGGATTCTTTCCTAGTATGTTACAGATGCAGAGATGTTATTCTACCTATACTTTTGGGAGTAAACCATCAAACTTTGATTAATATGCAACCTTAAATTTTTTCTTCAATGAAGAGTTAAGGGTGAAGTTATGATGTTTTTGAATCTGCTTTAAGCCCTTTAGTAAACAAAATCTTAGCTTTCTTTGAGAAAACTATCCGTATACTTATCAAATAATTCTAGCCAGTCATGGGTAATCATTTTTCTCGTAAGATATGCATATGATTCAGATCAATTTGACTAATGAAGCCTATATTGTCATCATAACATGCTGTATGTGTTTTTATTAATCCTCCCACAGATCCCATGTCTTAAAAGATTATACACACCAAGTTTCTTTTGTTATTATAATTATTAATTTGTTTTCTCTTGAATGAATCAGAAAGCTGTCAGTAAGAGCTTCTGCTTAGTAGGAGACAGGACCATACCCCAAAGAGTTGCGTCACTTCTGAACAATGCAACAAATACAAATGTATTAGCCTCGGCAATGCCGTAAAAGTCAATTACAATTATTATTTTTTAGCATAATGCCAATGGAAAAGACTTTCCATTACTACCCTAGGAATCACCAAGGTTACGGGATCCTTCCTTAAATTTACAATAATGTCATTTACATCCATGGTTAGAATCGATCCTTTTGTTTAATCCGTTTCTTCCTCTGTTTTCCAGGGTGGGGAAGCCAAAGCTCAAAAGTGCAAATTCATCACAACACCTGGCTCCATTTTCCCGGACATAACCTGAGATGGATTCTCACCTTTGCGCTTCTGTTTGTGCATGTTTGTGAAATAGCAGAAGGCATTGTCTCAGATTCGTAAGCAACTTGACTTACGTAGTGTTGCTACCAGAGGGTATATCAGTGTGGGTAGGAGTCACGGGGTTCATTGTTGGGATGTGACTGCTGAGGGACAACGAGGTCACTCATTTTATATGATAATTATATATTTTGTTTGTATATTTGGTTTCTAATTAATTTCTCTGATAAAACAGATTCATATCTCTATGACTTATGTCCACTCAGGTACTTTATAGCTCCCTGCTCCAGGTAGCCCTTGCAGATTCTGTCTTTTTCAACGTTTTGATTTTATTTCATCTTTAACAAGGGTATAAGTGGAAACTGTGTCTACATGGATCTATAGCTCCAGTGGCTATGAAATTCATAGATCAGATGTTGCAGTTTATTTTGTAAGGAAGCCAAGATAGATGTGGCAGACACTGACGAAGTCTAAAAAGGGTCAAAGCGTGAAATTATTTTAAAAATCACAATTTGTCATATAAAAAAAAACATATCAAAAGAACTTTGTACTGCTTATAGAAGAAGTTTGTGTTAGGTGGGTCAGAATATAATAACTTGTACTAATAAACTTGATCAGCCAGGGAAAGTTTTTCTCACAGAGAAAAAGAAAATACATTCAAGTAATAGGAAAAATGTGAATATGAAATTGTGCTAAAGTATTGAAATGAGAAGGCCTCTAAAGTTTTTAGAAAGAAAGCTCCAAAAATCATTTTTTCTCTTATCTAATAGAACCTCCCCTGACATCTGTTTATGTTTTTCTGTTGCAATTAGCAAGGAATGAAACTTCTAAGCTTTGTCATGGAGCCAACTATTTTGTAATGTATTATGGTGGTTCTTTGCAGATATGAGCATGTCTTAATTTCTGATGAAAAGACAAACCAGAGATTCTAGTATATGCCACCACTCAATGCAAAATTTAGAGGCTTCATGGGGTATTATCTTATTGATAGCTGTTTAAAACACTTTGGTGTATTTCCATTACCAGAGCCAATTTTAGTTCTGATTTTTTAACTTCTTTGACAAACTTCCCACGTTTTTCTATGAGTATGTATGAAGATCAATGTAATATTCTTTAAAACCTTGACATTATGTAGATTCAGGGACAGAAAATACAGGCTGAACTAATAATGATCATGACCTATGGTATGCTAAGAGCAGAAACTCGTTATGTAGTGGTACAAGAGACCCACCCAAAAAATAAATAGGCAAAAATATCACCTTCACCTTGAGCTGCTCACTTCTACTCTTTGGCTACTGGGTTCTTCTCTTTGCCCTTTTCATCCAGAGTTCTCAAAAAGTCATCTGTCGCTGGGTGTGGTGGTGCACGCCTGTAATCCCAGCTCTTGGGAGGCTGAGGCAGGAGGATCGCTGTGAGTTCAATACCAGCCTGGGTTACATAGTGAGCTCCAGGTCATTCTCAACTATATAGTGAGACCCTGTCTCAAAAAACAAACAACAAACAAAAAAAAGTCATCTGTCAGTGGCTTCTAAACTCAAAAATTTAGTTTGTTCTTTTGTCCTACCTAGGATGCTTCTTCTATGAGAAAGACAGAAAACATGAATATAATACACTAAATATACCTTTTATCCTTATCATAATAATTGCTATCTTTTTTTTGGTACTGGGGTTTGAACTCAGGACCTTGTGCCTATGAGGCAGGCACGATGCCACTGAGCTAAATCCTCAGCCCGTAATTGTTATCTTTGACATTGATGTTCATGCCTCATTTCTGTCTTTTTAAAACAAAGTGTCTCAGAACTATTCTTTACTTAGAATACCCATCTGAAAAAATGCTTCCTATAATTAGTGAAGCAGTACAATGGCTTTTCTAATTGGATATTTGATTTTCTTTTTTACTAACATCGCCTCTACATCCATTTACCTATTAGACGATTTCCTTTATCTGTTTAGTAGACATCTCCACAATGTACACATCCTGGCTGAAAGTAGCTTCTTCCTCCATCCCTCTTGTCCTCTTACAAACTTACCTGGTTGCTCGATCGTCCACTCAAACACCCTAGTTTTATTTTCTACCTTTCCATAGCCATCCCACTCATACACTAACGCTATTAAAATCCCGTTCACTTTAACAGTTAACCTTTGCCATATACACTGTTCCCTCCATGTCACTGCTGTCATTGCTTGAATTAGGCTTTTCTAGCATGTTGCCTGACCTATATCCATGCTATCTAACTGCTTTTCCTTTGCCCACTTCTTGTTTCCCGCCACCACCCACATATGCCTGTCAACCCCATCATGTGCATTAGTTCAGAGCGAGCTGTTTAAAACACAAATCTGGTCCTATCACTCACCTACTGATGTTTGACAGTTCTCTGCACAAAGTTCCCAGCCCCCTGCCATGGATCCAAAGCCTCTCATGATACATCGTATCTCAGGCTTTCTGTTCCAAGAGTATTGAATCGCTTAGGATTTTGAACACTACTTCATCCTTCTATGTATGTGCACGTTCCATTTTTAAAATGCCTTTCCACTACTTTCCTGACCAGGGCATTTCATTTTATGTTTCAGTCCCCACTGCCAATCATACCTCTTTCAAACGATTTCCTCAAATGTTTCCTTGCCCGTCACTCTTACACTAGCCTCCCTGTTCTTTGTGCCATTTACTTACTAACATGTTTAGGTAATTTGAGAAAAGTTAAGTATTCTGCTCCGTGGCATTGTTAACGCAAGTGGAGTGCAGGTGAGAGTGGTCCACCCGGCCCATCCGGTCCTGCCCCATCTTCCATCCACCTAGGGCTCTGTAGTGCCCTCAGAATGAATCCCCCATGTCTTGCAGTTACTGTATCCTGAATTGCTTGCATTAGCCTAGATCACCTCTGGACCCTCTGCCTGGAGTTGTCTTTCTCCTTTCTGCCACTGGATAAGGCTCATTCTGAGTGACTCAGCTCACAAGTCACTTCCTCCACAAACCTTTCTGTCCCTGGTTCCATCCTTGCATGCTCATTGTCTCTTCCCATGTATTATCATTTGCTGTTTATTTTTCCAGTACTGGGAATAGAACCCAAGGGTACTGTGCCACTGAGCTACAGCCCCAGCCTTTTTTATTTTTTGAGACAGGGTCTTGCTTAGTTACCCAGGCTGGTCTCAAAGTTGAGATCCTCCTTCCTGAGCCTCCTGAGTAGCTGGCATTACAGGTCTGTGCCACCACACCTGACTCCTTTGGTACTAGGAGAATCTAAAAGATTCTCGACTTTGTGACCACAGATGTGATATCTTATCTTGTTTATTGTTGCTTCCCGGAACTTAATAGTGTCTAGACTAGCAACCATGCATGTATGGAATGGACTAATAAGAATGGAGAAATCATTGAAGACCACGGCATTTAGGAGGGAATAAATACAATTTTCACATACTTTAGAGTTTAGATTAACTTGGTTATTTTCACTTGCTTTAATCATTAAATTATTTAACCATCTATTTCTCTAAATAACAGTGCCCACAAATTTATTTTGGTTGTAAGCATTTCAAAACATTGCTTGGTGTGTTTTTCCACACCTCTTGTGAGGAGAAATTCTTTCAGCAGAATGATGTCACATAAGATCGTCTTCTCTTCCGAACTCTGCCTGCCTTTTTGGTTTTCAGCGTAGTTAAAAGTGAGTTTCAATAAAAAATGGGAACTTCCCGGAACCATGGCTAAAACCCTGACCCTGTACTGCTCTCTGCAGACGGCGGGAATCCAGGCACCTACATCTCTTCATGCCAGCCGTCATGGGTTTCGTGGCTACTACCACATCCATTGTATATTATCATAACATTGAAACATCAAATTTCCCCAAATTACTTTTAGGTAAGTATGTTAAAGGTTGTTTCTCACCTTTCCAAAGCAGCTGTTTGTTTTTCTTTTTCCGCATAGCAACATACCATCTAAGTGTGTTGATGGGGGAAGCATAGGGAAAAAATGACAATAATTCATTCTTTAGTCAACCAGCAAATGTGGGGTGGAAGATGAACTGAGAGGTTGATAGCAGTCCTGTATTCACTTCACATGAATACATATTCTGACGATTTTAGGTGTATTTTTATAATATCCAACATCAATTTTTTAAAATCAAGCTATAGAAGTTGACTGATCGTTTCTTAGGCACGTGCATGTTTTTGGTTGTTGTGTCTTCCTGAAAAACAGATCCTTTTATCATTACTAAAAGCATTTTGGGCTGAGGATTTAGCTCAGTGGTTCTGCCACCTACTTCACAAGTGCAAAGTCCAGAGTTTAATCCCTGGTACAAAAAAAAAAAATTAAAAACCCCATTTTTTATTTCTCATATTATTCCTGGTCTTGAAATCTACTTTGATTGATGCCTAATGTTTCAGATTTCTTATTTTTATTGTTTTCATTTAAAATCTGTTTTTCATCAGTTGCTCTCAAACTACTGTTTCTAATACTTAGTTCTTCTCCTTAGGTAGCATATTATTTGGTATGTTTTTCCTAAGTCCAATCTAACCATTTCTACATTTTAAGCTAAAATGAGATATATGTAAGTTCATATGCCGGGATTCAATTATTTTTATCTAAGGAGGTTGTGACTACCCTTAATCTTTCTGGCTTTGATAAGTATTACCCAAAATGGGTTGTCTTATCTATGTTTTAGAGTTCTTTATTTGGGTTTGTATTGAAAGTTCAAGGTAGACAGAATCCTTGCCAACACATTTCTAGGAATATGTCTGCTTCCAGCTCATGTTTGTTGTAAGTTGCTGGCAGTGGTTGTGAGACTGTAGATTCCTGCCTTTCTGGCTCAACAGTTTGAGGTCTGGGTTTGCTCTATGGGATTATTGTGCTTTTCTGGGCTCTGCAGATGAGTGTGGGGTTTATAGCTCTTTGGTTGAGAAGAGTCATTTATTATTTGAATGCCCATGTGTAAAGCGGAAACCCTATTATGTAGCTACACTGATTCCACCATAATTCCAGGGAAATAGTGTTAGACCCCTGGGAACTACAATATTTGTCTGTCGGATAAGTCACACAGATACCACCTTGTGAATTCTTCATATAATCAAGGGCCTGAAAAGCAAGACTAGAGATAAAAGCACTTTTAAAATCTACAGGATTACATGTAAATTCTTAAGAATGAGGTAAATACCTTCTGTATGACTCCCCATAGCTTCCCAGATATCACATAGCATCAGAGTGGGAGCATTCTACTCTTCATGGATTCCGTGGAAGAATTAGTACTGGTAAAATGTGCATACTACACGATGTAATTTACTGATCCAGTGCAATGTTTGTAAAATACCAACGGCCTTCTTCACAGAATTATCCAAGATTCAGATGGAAGCAGAAAAGATGTGGAAGATCCAAAACAATCATGAGCAAAAAGAACAAAATAGGAAGCATTGCTTTATCAGACTTATAAATATACAACTACAAAGCTGTAGTGCTCAAAGCTGCGTGGTATTAGCATAAAAACAGAGACATAGACCAATACTACTGACTAGTGAGGACAGAAATAACTCCATGCGCTTAATGCAACTGACTTGTGACAAAGGTACCAAAAGTATCTGTTGGAAAAAGAACAGCCTCTTCAATAAATAGTGGAAAAACTGGAAATCACATGCAAAAAAACCTGAAACTTGACCCTCATGTCTTATGCTGTGTCCTAACATTCAATCCAAAACTCCAGAAGCACACTAGAGCATATATTTTGTTTTCTTATCACGTCATTCACCAAATATTTAAATTGCCTTTGTTATTAAAAAACATTATATTTATATTGGACTATTAGTGAAGTTTTGAAGACTATCAGGGGAAGATTTCATCTTTTGCTCTTTTCTTGTATTTGTACAGCTCTATTCCTGTATTGGGTAATGGCCTTTATAACAAAAACAATAAAACTGGTCAAATACTGGCAGTTGGGATGGGGAGTATCAGACCTGCGTTTCTGCATCACAGGCATGATGGTGATCTTGAATGGGCTCCTGATGGCTGTGGAGATCAATGTCATTCGGGTCAGAGTAAGTAGTAGTACATACTGCTATTCAATACCTCCACATTAAAGATTACGATCAGCCAGAAATTGTTAGGCTGTGTAAGGCAATGAACCAATTGTAATATTCACAAGCCTCATGTTTTGTCCATAATTATAAATCTATTATACTTTCTGCCACATAATGCTGTCAGTTATGGCAAATAAGATAGTATTCAATATTTTCAGTATTCATTTTCTGTCAGAGAACTTTCCGCTTGCTCTAAGAGTGGAAAGATAACATACTACAGTGAATGTGGAGAACAGGAAGGGAACATCAGTCAAACTACAAATCAACAGTGACTCAACGATAATGTCGATAACACATTTTGAAATCTCAATAACATAAAAATCATCACTGGGGACCTGGTAACATAATGAGAAACGTATTCTTTTAAAAGGCTAGTTGGTTCTTTAGAACTGGCCCCAAGAAGTTTCCATTCATAATTTCAGCATTTAATTAATCTAGTGAAAACAAAAGGGAAGTATTTCCAAGAATGTTTTAGAAAGGGCTGGAAGGAAACATTAAAATATAAAGTTTGGCCACCTGACATGAAACTAAGAAAAGGGTGGAATTATCTTTTGAATATGTGAAGAAGGAATAGGGCTAATTGTAACACTGTGGAATTTTTGTGTCACAGAGATATGTATTCTTCATGAATCCTCAGAAAGTAAAGCCTCCTGAAGACCTCCAGGATCTGGGTGTGAGATTCCTTCAACCATTTGTGAATTTGCTGTCAAAAGCAACATACTGGTGGATGAACACACTCATCATTTCTGCTCATAGGAAGCCTATTGATCTGAAGGCAATTGGAAAATTGCCCATAGCAATGAGGGCAGTAACAAATTATGTTTGCCTGAAAGATGCATACGAAGAACAAAAGGTAATTTAGCATCTGTCTTCCATGTCTGTATTTATAGAGAATGTTTGTTTGTTTGTTTTGCGGTACCGGGTATCAAACTCAGGACGTTGTGGTTTCGAGGCAGGCATGGTGGCACTGAGCTAAATCCCTGGCCATAAGAATGGGCTTTTTAAAATATAAAAGTACAAAGTTTAAATAAGATCTATTATCAAAGAAGAATTGTTTTTCTCTATTTTTCCGAACTGGTGTTTTAAGTCACGTCACCTGATCACGGAGGAAAGACTGGAAGAGACTATGAATACAGTCACATTGCATTAGTTGTCCAATCACCACATGGGGAGGGCTGGGGAGCCCTCGTCTTACTTCTGGGACAAATGACCAAGTGGAAAAAGCAAAGACCAATACTCCTATAGTTATTAACCCTTCTTACCATCTAATATTAATAATTCAGGGAAGTTTTATTGTCTATTTTTCAAGCAGCTTGTGAATAATTTTTTTTTACATAAAGGTAAAGTAGATCACATTCACCAACAATTACTTTTCAGAAATTAAAATTATTAGACTAATTATTACCTGAAATTGGCACATGTGTGAGTAAATTAAATAGGTGCCATCTCCCCATTCCATGTATTAGCCTACATGTCTTCTAAAATTGGTTTCTTCTGGTACTTTCCTTGAATATCAATAATTGCTTTAGAAATTTTAAAGTTGGGAGTCTGGAAACTTTCAGTTTGTTTTCATTCTGAAGTCAGGCATGAGATCCACAATGATAGACATGTTTTATATTGCAATCATTACAAATATCAGGGTCACTTAAAATATTGATATTCACAATAATACTGGACAAGAGTAAGGTATGGAGGAATCAGTTAAAGATATTTTTTTGGCTCTTCTAAATCAAAAAGCCACAATGCATTGATGGTAAATGATGCAAATGACCTTTTGTTTTAGAAGTTTCTGTTATGAAATTACTATTGCAGGAAATGTTTACTACAAATGAACCTGAATCATTCCTCTGGTTTTACCCATGGGAAAAGTATTGCATAAAACTTTTAACTCCTCTGCTTCAGTAAAGATTTACACTATAGAGCAAAAATAGCTTAAATTCTCTGAATGTTCTTTACAACACAGACTAACTTGAGCTTCCTATGTTAATGTCCTATCAATAAGCTTTAGAAAAATAATCAAATTGTTCATCCTCATTGGGAATTGAATGTGGAACACAACTGAAGTCCACTCCATTGAGTCGGCTACTTTGCCACAATAAGAGACCTATGTCTACTTTGTACCCAAGATATATTTATGATGAGTGAGCAGGTCTTAAAATCTTTACTGCCAAGAAATGTAGATATATAAAGTGATGAACTGATTAATTGTGTATGCCATTCTTCATTTTGCATTTCTTTAAGGAACTCTTAGCAGATACATGCCTACCATTATTTTTTAAAAGTACAGACTACTTTTCATGGAGATGGGAAACTACTGGGGAGATACGACCAGAAACAATTTGAGATGGAGACAGTCTGTTTTAATGTATAGTAATGTGATAGCTAAATTTCTTCTTTTCTAGTAAGTCCACATATTTTGAGCAATCTATCAATAACCCCATCTTTGTACCTACCTTACTGTCTCCTCTTACAAAAAATGTTGCTTGGAAGTATTCATGATGATATATATCTTCCAAATCAAAGGTAACTAATTAATTTGACTTTAAGAATTTTTTAGCATCATCCTTTGGCAGTCTGAGAAAATCTGGCCTGTATACTTTTTCATTCTATTTATAAAAATGCATTCGATAGCTGCTATTTGCATAAATGTGAGGATACAGAATTATTCATGCTATATTATTATATAACATTACATATGCTACATAAATTTATATATCTACTCTTCAGCCTTTAAAATTCAAATCCATCAGGAGGAATTTCATGGATGTACAGATTAGTTGCTGTTCTGACCAGTTTTATTTTGATGCCTCTGGTTTTTCTTTTAGAAAAAAGCAGCCGATCGCCCTAACAGAACTCCCTCTATATGGCTTGCCATGTACAGAGCTTTTGGGAGACCAATCTTACTGAGCAGCACATTTCGTTACTTAGCCGACTTGCTGGGTTTTGCCGGACCTCTCTGTATATCTGGAATAGTTCAACGTGTGAATGAAACCCAGAACGGGACGAATAACACAACAGGAGTAAGTTCATGGTGTTTTTGAAAAGAAATATATTATTGGCAGATGTCATTGTAACTGTCACTTTTTAGTAATGTAGTTTTATGAGGAGTTTGAATGGGCTTATTGACAGAAGATTGAATTTCTTTTTAAAAAAATAAAAGTAATAATATTCTTTTGGGAAAAGTTCATGTGTTTATATGTTCATTGAATTCGCTGGCTAACAAAATTTTTTCTCAGATTCAGAGCCTATAAATATTTAATAAGCATCTATTGTGTGCCAGAAACTACATGTGTAAACCTCGCATTGATCTCTTTGTTTGAACTTTATAGTAATTTCCATGCATGAGTACCCCGGGGTGGCTGAGTCACCTTTTGAAAGGCCTGTGACCAATAATGTTAGTGATGTGGTTTGTAGGATTACACATTTTTCTGATATGATAAAGCCATCAGTCTTTTTCACAATGCTCAGAGGGAATCTTGTGAAATTTTACTAGGTATTATGTTATTATGTGGAGGGATAGATAATGAAAAATACTATACATTTGCATTTATAAATACAGAATGTTTTCTGTATTTTCTGTTCTTAAGAAAGTCTGCACTATGCGATTTGTAGCTTTTCTTTTTCCCTACAATGACTTGATGTCCTTAGTTTCAGAACTAGAATCTATCCAAGGGAATCAACTTTCCTTTTCTGTTTTCTCACTCTGATTTCTGGTCCTTTTCTTGCACCTATTAAAATTGTATGCACGATCAAAGCCTTTATTAAATGCTGCCTCACCATTGAAACTTTCTGTGGTCATTCTAGCTGGAGCCTAACTCCTCTGGATAGTCCCCTAATGCTTTCTTTACTTCGTCTCGACACTCACTGTTTACGCTTTGCACAGCGAAACACACCAAATGTGACACACTTATCTCCTTATTCTTGCCACTTCCTGAGCCACTCTGGAAGTCCTCTGCTGTGAGTGTCATTAGCTGTACTATCCTGCTGATGTACAGAATCCACTAAGACCCTTTACCTTTTACGGTCATTTTGACTTCGGCAAAGGGCCTGAAGAGTAGCGTGAGTAAGGTGGCGGAGGGTGCACCGTGATGTTCTACTGAGCTGCCTTTCTGTAAGACGGCATGTGGCCTCCACATTCACTGTTTGTTTGTTTGTTTGTTTTTATTTTTGGTACTGGGGATCAAACTTGGGTCCTTGTGCTTGCAAGGCAGGAGGCAGAACCACTGAGCTAAATCCCTGGCCCAGACATTCACCATATTTTTTAATCACACCTTGTAAAGACACTAAAGATGACTTCCAGAACTGCTTCAGTACGTGACAGGAATAACGGAATAAGTGTGTTTGAAGTCAGGGGGTAGCATTTTGAGGGACGGTATGTCTTTTACTATATGTAATATATTTATTTGAATTTAAACATTCCCTGTGTATTTCTCCCGTACCTGGTGTCACTTATAGATACACTTATCTTTCTAGGTTGTAATCTCTGTAAACAGAATAAGGGAACTGTCCACATTTCATTCCCCCAATATTTACCCTGGTTCTTTGCATACATTAGCATTTAGTTATTATCACAGTGAATCGTATGACTTCACCATGGATGCACTTCTGTGATATTTCGGTCCTACTCACCTAGTATATGCAAAGATCTAAATTTCACCCAGTGCTTCTACCACCCTCATCCCTTACATATATTAAGCATGTGCTTTTCTGAGATGAAACAGGACTTACAGATTTGTATAAGGACAGAGAAGGAAGGGGCCACAAATACAATCTCCCTGGATCTGTCACTAAAAATGAAGTCACCCCACCGCTACAGTGAACTGAAGTTTGTCCTTCCCTTTTCTCAGTAGCAAGTTTTCGTATGCTATCATTTCAAACAAAATGCGATAACTTATGCGTATTCTTATGATAAATTCAGTTATAGTCCTACTAGAACAATTTTTTTCTCTTTTCTCAGTACGTGTTTGCAGTACATAGTGATTACATTCATTGTGGGGAGTTGGTACATGCGTATAACACAACCTAATTATTCTTACTTCCCTCTATCCTCTTCTCCCCTCTCCTTGTCTCTAAGTCCCTTTACCATTTACAAAAGATCTCTCTCCCTGACTGAACCACCCATCCTTTAGTTCGCTCTTTAAATTATTTGTGCTTTGGGTGTCTCATGAAACAGTGAGATACTTAAGCTTGTGTACCTGATTTATTTCATTTGACACTGGTCTCAAGACATATCTGTTTCTCTGCAGTTAATGCTATTTTCCTTTATGGCAGGGTAGTACATGCCATCGTGTATGTATGTCATATTTTTTATCCATTCCTCTGTTCATGAATATAGAGGCCTTCTCCAAGATTTAATCACTTGTTGTGTGTCTGTAAACTTGAGCGTGCAGGTATCACTGTGACCCGAAGTCTTTAATTCTTTAGGGAAGATACCTATAAGGGAAATAACTGGGTTGAAGGGAATTTCTAGTTTTCCTACCAGCAGTGTAGAAGGGTTCCCTTTCTTCCCCCGACAGCTTTGCCAGAATTTGTTATTATTTGATTTCTTGATGGCCATTCTTTCTGGGGTAAGATGGAATCTCCATATTTATTTATTTTTCTTGGGTGGGGGTGGTACCAGGGATCGAACTCAGGACCTTGTGCTTGCAAGGCAGGTGGATGCACCACTGAGCTAAATCCTCAGCCCCAGAATCTCCATATTTAAACTTGCATTTTTCTAGTGGCCAGAGGTACCGAACATTTTTTAATGTATTTATTGGTCATTTGTACTTCTTTTGAGACACGCCTATTCACTTCAATTGTCTATCTTTTAATTGGGTATTTATTTGGAGGGGTCTAATTTTTTTTTATTCATTTCATATTTTGGATATTAGTCCTTTGTTGGAGTAGTAGCTGAAAAACCTTTTTTCCATTCTATAATTTGTCTTTTTCTTCCTGCGTAGAACCTTTTAAATTTGATATAGTCTCATTTGTTGATTCTTAATGTTATTTCTTGAACAGTTGAGGTTCTATCCAAAAAGTCTTCGCCTATGCCAGTGTCTTCTATGTTAATATCCAGATATTTTATTGATTTTGATTTTGTTTTAGCTGGCCACTGAGGTTTTATAGTTAAGAATTATATCAGTGGTAGAGGAAATGAGTAGTTAAAATTTGTGGGTTTTTTTTGTTTTTGTTTTTGTACAAGATTTCAGAAACCCTTTCATCAAAAGAATTTCTGGAAAATGCTTACGTTCTAGCAGTTCTTCTCTTCCTGGCTCTTATTCTACAAAGGACATTCTTGCAGGCTTCCTACTATGTAACCATAGAGACTGGCATTAACCTCCGGGGAGCTCTTCTGGTACGTATCATCCGGCCATAGGACCAGTGTTAGCTTTATTTCTTTATTTATTTTTGCATTTCATTTCACGTTGATATTACAGCAACATTTTTAGGATTGTTTGGTGAAAGACACCTAGAACTCGTAAACCCATTGAGTTAAAAATGACTTAATATAGCATATTTCAAAAAAATATTTAGAAGTCTTGCAATTATTTATCTCTTTATTTCTTTTGGCTCTTGAACTTACATCTAAAGTTGAACATATATTTTGATTATATTACTAGAAAATAATAAGCTTGTATTTAATTGAAAAACAGAGAATAACTGCTAAAATGGGAATGGTGTTTGATTTAAGAGGGCCATGAAAGGTTTTCTACACTTTTTCAAAAAAATTTAAGACAATTGTTATTTTTTAATGAAAGTAAATAATTATAGTGTGATTAAATTTAGAGCTTTATGTGTGTTTTTTTCTTCTTGTAGGCCATGATATACAATAAAATCCTTAGGCTCTCCACGTCTAACTTATCCATGGGTGAGATGACCCTGGGACAGATCAACAACCTGGTCGCCATTGAAACCAATCAACTCATGTGGTTCTTATTCCTGTGTCCCAATCTATGGGCTATGCCTGTTCAGGTAGATCATAATAAGTAAGGCTGTCTTTGGTAGAGGAAGTAAAGGAAAAAGAACACTAAATATTTACCTGGGAATCATTTTTGAATATGCTGATGCTGTTAGACCCTTTTTGTAGACCAGGAAGATGAGAACAGGAATGTTACAGCCTGGGTTAAGAAAGTGGGATGTGGAATTATACTTCTTGGGTTCAAATGTCTGCTCTATCCATTGTTTGTACAAGTACCTAACCCTGAAAAGCATTAGTTTCCTTCACTGCACAATGGGAATGATGAAATAGAATTGCCTCACAGAGTTGTGAGATTGTCACATTTGAGTAAGGTAGCATTTGTAAAGCATTTAGCAACAGTGCCTAGGGTTTTATGGCCACTGAGTAACCGATATGCTGTTGCCTAAATTTGTGCAAGTTACAAAGCTAAGATTTGACTCCTTTCATTTTGACAGACTCTTTTCTAGCATTTCTAAACTATATCAACGTCTTTAATCCTCCCATGGTTTCAACAGCTATTATATTACAAAATATCAAACTTGATAAGGCAGTAGGAACACAGACAAGCTGAGGGGCTATTTAACTATCTGTTAGCATTGACACATGATTTTTCAACCAATTGGGTAAAAATGGTGAAAAAAATGTATTTGGTTTTTCTTTGTTGTCATATTATATATTTTCTATTTTCTCCAGTTTTACATCCTGTAGATGGAGCTTAAACTATAGGTCTCATTTGATGCAGTCTATTACATTTCCTTGTGTACTGCATTTGTTACAGTGCATAAAATAATAAAAATATAGCTTACTTTTAAATTTATTATTTGTATTTTTATTTTTTAGTGTAACACCAAGTCAATTAAAATGCATACCATGCCCAGGCCACAGTATAAAAATAAAGGTATAGTTTACCTCATTTTATCAAAACATCTTCTATCGAGTATCTCCATCAAGGAGCTGCCTGTGTAGTATGATTTAAAGTACACCAGCTGGGGATTTATGTCAGTGGTGCTGCCACCTGCTTCACAAGTGCAAGGTCCTGAGTTCGATCCCCAGTACCAAAAAAAAAAAAAGAAACAAACAAACAAACAAAAAAGAAACACCAAAAATCAAATTTTCACTGAATGACTACATCATAGGTGGCCAGAAGAAATGTTTCATTTTGATTGGAATTCCTCAGGTACTTAATTGGTCGGAAGTTACATGTGCCATCTCCTCCAGAAGGCTGTTATCGTTGGCGTATAGGCATATACTTTATGCTTGAATTGCATGGTCGCGGTGCATCACGTGACATTTTGAGCCATTTTGAGCTCCTGGAGAAAAATCGGGGAGAGATGATAGGAGAGTTAAATCTCAATAATTTAAAGGAAGAAGAAGAAAGTGGCCGAACCAGAGAGCAGTTAGACATAAAGCACTGAGTTTGAGAAACATTTAAAAGTGGAAGTGTGAGTAAGTGGTGTTCCTGTACCAATTCTGGTTTATTGACAGTTGTAATTAGTCCTAGTTGTCATGCCCTAGCGAACTTTGGAGTCATTAAGCCACTGAGGAACTTTGGTTCATACCAGTGATCCTATACTCACCCATAATGCTGCCCTCTACTTTCCATTCCCATAGCTTTGAAAAGCTAGTGCAATTCCAAGAGAATATGAAGCATTGAATTTGTGGTAGATGACACTATTTTCTGAAAAATTGTGTCCTTTTAAAAATTTAAGACTGCTTTGTAAGGTCAGCAGTGTCATGGGACCATTCTGTAACTTCACACAGGAAGTTGGTTTGACACCAGTTGTACAAATCATTATACTGAAAGTAAATTCCTGGTACTTAGCTGTCGCCCAATAAATCGCATTAAAACTCAACTGTCACGGTTGAGTTGCTTTCCAAATAAACTTAAAGTAATAATTAAATTATTTCATTTTTCACTAAAAATATTTGCTCTCGTGAGGTGGCTCCTACAGCCCATTTATTTGTCTTTTTCCATACGTTTTCTCTCCCAGATCATCATGGGGGTGATTCTGCTCTATAATTTACTTGGATCAAGTGCACTGGTTGGTGCAGCTGTCATCGTGTTACTCGCACCAATTCAGTACTTCATCGCTACGAAGTTGGCAGAAGCTCAAAAGAGCACTCTTGTAAGTAGCATCTTTTGGAAAATTTACTAGGAAAATCCTGTGCTGCTGTTTTATTTTTATACTATCGGAAGTTCATATATGCCACGCAGGATGACTTTGAAATCATTGTATTTCACTGCACTTCTCAGGCAGCAAATGTGTGTTTTCTGTGTGGAAGAAACAATTTAACTTTTGGTACTAGGGATTGAACGAGTACGTGCCAGACGTGCTAGCTACACCCTCAACCCATTTTAGTGTTTTTCGTTTGCTTGTAATTTTAAGGCTCTTACTAAGTTACCCAGGCTGGGTTTGAACTTGAAATCCTTATTCCCCCCACCCTCCCCAGTACCGGGAATCAAACTCAGGACCTTGCACTTGCCAGGTAGACAAGGCGCCACTGAGCTAAATCCCCAGTCCCTAAATTATAATCCTCTTGCCACAGTCTCTCAAGCAGCTAGGATTACAGGTATAGGACACCATGCCCAGCTTCTAAAAAAATTTTTTTTACAAATGTAATAAAAGACTTAAATGTAATTTGAGACTTGATTTTCTTAGATTTGAAAAACCAGAATCATGGTTTTGGATGTTTTTAAGTACCAAAATGTAATGAGGTTTTGTGTGTTTTTTAACAATTTTTGTTTATTGGTACATTTTAGGTGTATAATACAGTTACATTCATCATTGGGATCTTGTACCTTTATATGAGATATCTTGCTTCTTATTTTTTCCCCATTCCCCTGGCCTCCCTTCACCACCTCCACCCTTCCCTATTTACAAAGTCTTTGTTTCCATTTTTTTCCTTTTCTCTTATTTTTTCTTTTCCCTTCTTACCTTTCCCCTACCCCTCCCACTTCCCCTATACCTTTAGACCTTTTCTTCCTATTACATAATATTAATTATACATTTTGATCCTTATTTACACTTTTAGTTTATCACACCAGATAAACTGTTCAGTATTTACACATGTGTGTCCTATTAATTTCACTTAAGAGTATGTTTTCAATGTGCATCCACTTAATTATAAATGACTCTAGTTTCTCATTTTTGGCTGAGTAGTACTCCACTTTATAGAAAAAAATTCTTCTTTATCTAGTCTCCAGTTGATGGCCAATTGGGCTGTTTCCAAATTTTAGCTATTACAGACTGTGCCACTATAAACATGGGTTAGCATATATCACTGTGGTATGATTCTGTTAATTCTTTTGTGAAGCAGGGGAATAGCTGGGTCAAATGGAACCTCTAATCCTAGTTCTTTGAGGTATCTCCATACTGATTTTCACAGTGGTTGCACCAGTCTGCCCTCCCACCAACAGTGGAGAAGGGTTCCTTTTTCCCCACAGCCCCACCAGCATTTGTTATTGATTGATTGCTTGATAGCAGCCATTCTTTCTGGAGTGAGGTGGAATCTCAGTGTTGTTTTCATCTGCATCTCTCGAATGACCAATGATGTTGAACATTTTTCATATGTTTATTTGCTGCTTTTACTTGTTTGTCTGAGAAATGTCTATTCATTTCAGACGCCCATTTTTGAATTGCATCTTATATATTTGGGGACCTGATTTTTTTTTTTTTTTAGTTTTTTATATATTCTAGATGGTAGATCTTTGTCTGAGGAACAGCTGGTAAAATTTTTCCCACATTGTAGGTTGTCTCCTTAGCTCTGTTAGTGGTTTCTCTTGCAGTGCAGAAACATTTTAATAAAATGAGGTCCTGCTGGGCATGGTGGTGCACACCTGTAATCCCAGTACTCGGGAGGCTGAGACAGGAGGATCACTGTGACTTTGAGACCAGCTTGGGCTACATAATGAGTTCCAGGTCAGTCTCGACTACATAATGAGACCCTGTCTCAAAAAAAAAAAACAACCCCCAAAACAATAAGATGAGATCCCAGTTGTTGATACTTTGTACTAGTTCCTGTGCTACTGAGGATTTGTTCATGAAGTCTTTTCCTATGCTAATGCCTTCAAGAGTTCTACCTAACTTATCTTCCAATAAGTTTAGTGTTTTAGTTTTAATATTTAGATCTTTACTCCACTTGGATCTTAGTTCAGTGCATGGTGAGAGACAGGGGTATACTTTTAATCTTTAGCAAATTGAAATCCAGTTTTCCAACACCATTTATTAAAGAGGCTATCCTTACTCCAGTGAGGATGGTTGGCTCCTTTGTCAAAGATGAGGTAGCTCAGTACATCTGGTTGTTTTTGTATCATCCAATCTATTCCACTGGTCCTTCGGTCTGTTTCTTTGCCAGTACCATGCTGTTTTTATCACAGTGGCTTTGTAGTACAGTTTCAAGTTGGGGATTGTGATACGCCCTTCCATGTCTCTGTTGCCTAGAATTGCTTTTGCTATGCTAGGTCTCCTCTTGTTCCAAATGAATTTTTGGATTGTTTTTTCAAGTTCTGTGAAATATACTCTTGGAATTTGAATAGGGATTGCATTCAATCTGTATAGCAGTTTTGGTAGAATGGCCATTTTCACTACATTGATTCTTCCTACCCAAGAACAAGGGATGTCTTTCCATTTTCTTATATCCTCTTCGACCTCTTTTTTCAGAGTGTTGTAGTTCTCAATATAGAGGTCTTTTTCTTTCTTCATTAGATTTATTCCTAGATATTTCAGTTTTTTGGATGCTATTTTGAAAGGGATTATTTCCCTAATTTTCCTTTCTTTAAGTCTGTTATTTGTGCACAAGAAGGCTATTGATTTTGGAGTGTTTACCTTGTATCCAGCTACTCTACTGAAACTGTCAATTAAATCTAGAAGTCTTTGGTGGATTTTTTTTGGTCTTCTATGTAGAGAGAGTATCATATCATCAGCAAGTAATGAGAGTTAAACTTCTTTCTTTCCTATCATTATTGCTTTTATTTCTTTCTCTTGTCTAATTGCTGTGGTTAATGTTTCCAAAACTATATTGAACAAGATTGGTGACAGTGGTCATTCTTGTCTTGTTCCTGATTTTAGTGTGAAGGTTTTCATTTTTTTACCATTTAGTATGATGTTGGCTGTTGGCTTTTCATAGATAGCCTTTATCAAATTGAGATAAAGACCATCATTCCAATTTTCTGCAGGGTTTTTATCATGAATGGCTATTGAATTTTGTCAAATGCTTTTTCTGCATCTGTTGAGATGATCATATGGTTTGTGTCTTTGACTCTGTTAATATAGTGTGTTACATTTATTGATTTCCATATATTGAACCATCCTTGCATCCCTGGGATAAATGCAACTCGGTGAGCGTGTATGATCTTCTTGATGGCCCTTGGTATTCTGTTTGCCAATATATATTGAGGATTTTTGCATCTAGGCTCATTAGAGAGATTGGCCTGTAGTTCTCTTTTTTGGTTGGATTTTCCCTGGTTTTGGAATCAACATAACACTTGCTTCTAGGAAGGAAACTGGAAATATTGCTTCCCTTTCAATTTCATTGAAAAGTTTAAAAAGTAGTGGCAATAGTTTTTCTCTAAATATTTTGTAGAATTCAGCAGTGATGCCATCAGGACCTCGACTTGTCTTTTTTGGAAATTTTTAAATTACGTTTTCAATTTCACTGATTTTATTTGGGGTATTTAGAATTTTTTTTTATCTTCTTCATTCAACTTTGGTAATTCATATGTATCTAGAAATCTGTCCATTTCTTCTGTTTTCCATTTTATTAGAATACAGGTTCTCGAAGTAGGTATTGATGATCCTCTTGTTTTCTCCTGGATCTGTTGTGACTTCACCTTTTTTGTTTACAATTGCATGAATTTGAGCTTTTTCTTTCCTTTGTTAAATAAGATTGGCTAAGGATTTATCTATTTTATTTATTTTTTTTGAAAAACAAACTCTTCAATTCATTCATTTTTTTTTTTTTTGTATTGTTCTCTTAGTCTCCATTGCATTGATTTCTGCTCTGACCTTTACAATTTCCTCCTTTGTTCGAGCTTTGGGTTTGTCTTGCTCTTCTTTTTCTAGAAGCTTAAGATTCAGCATTAGGTTGTTTATTTGAGCTCACTCTATTTTCCTAGTGTGGGCATTCACTGCTGTAAATTTCCCTTGTAGAGCTGCTTTCATTGTATTCCATAGATTCCTGTATGTTGTATTGGCATTATCATTTATTTGTAAAAACTGTCTAATTTCTTCAATTTCCTCTGTGACCCATTGGGTGTTCAGGAGAGTGTTATTCAATTTCCATGTATTTGTGAAGTTCTTGAGGTTTCTTTTGCTATTGATCTCCAGTTTAATTGCACTGTGGTCTGATAATATACATGGGGTAACATGAATCCCTTTGCATTTACTTAAACATGTTCTGTGAGCTAGTATGTGTTCTATCTTGGAGAATGACCAATGTGCAGCTGAAAAGAATGTATATTCTGACTTTGTGGGGTAGAACACTGTAGATGTCTATTAAGTCCATTTGTTCAAAAGCTTGCTTCAGTTCTAGTATTTTGTTGTTGACTTTTTTGTCTAGATGATCTGTCTGCTTGTGACAGTGAGGTATTGAAGTTCCCCACTACAACTGTATTAGTGCTTATTTGGTCTTTCATGTCCCTTAATATTTGTTTTGTATAGTCGAGGGCATTAGTACTTGGTGAATATATATTTATGATTGTCATCTCTTCCTCTTGGATTGTTCCCTTTACAAGGATTTAGGACCTTCTTTGCCTCTTTTAATTTTGGTTTGAAATTTACTTTGTCTGCAAGTAAGATAGCTACCCCCGCTTTTTTTCAGGTTCCTACCACATGGATACCTGTTTTCCATCCTTTTACTTTCAGTGTATGAGAGTTTCTTTTTGAACTAGGTGCATTATTTATATACAGCATATTGTTGGATTTTGCTTCTTAATCCATTCTGCCAGTCTATTTCTTTTGATTGGTGATCATTATACCTGGAAAGACAACTGATTAGATCAATCACAACACTTTAGCCCAAGTGATACAATCAGCAACACGATAGCATCAAGCATGGCTTAGAAAATGACAATTTGTTGTAGTTATTAATTTATCACCTTTAACCATGTGAATTAACTCAAAATCAAGGCTGGAACTCAGGACAATGGTCTTTATGACCCCCTGTGCCTCTGTGGTGTGAATCCAGGTACCAGCACAGCCAGGAGGCCAGAGGTGCATGGGGGTGGTTAAAGAGGGCTGCAGGCACCAGTGCAGATGGACACCTGCATAGCTCCATCTCTCACAGATCCACTGCTGAGGCTCAAGGTGTGGGTTAGGTAGCAGGCCAGCTCTGCACGGTTCCGTCTGATGAAGTTTTGGATCTTCCTTTTTGATCTTTTATCCAAAGAACATGCTTTAGTGTACTTTGAGACAATTAGATGTCAATTAATGACATGGAAGACATGGATCAAGGTATAAGTGAAGGGTCAGGTTTGGTGGCTCTGAAATTAAATTTTCCTCTTATTGATTCTTATCAGGTGATGAGGCATGGGGTTGCATGGAAATACTTTAGTGCCAGCTGCTCTGGCTGAATATGTTCATGGTCAACTTGATAAGCATGGAGGAAAGTTGAATTGTTGACCCTTTTTTGGCTTCAATTTGCCATGAAATCATTTTATTTGAGCAAGAATTGGCTGCTTTTAAAGAAATATTTGCAAATAATAAACATGTTTAGAAGTAAAATTTGACTGAATATGAATTAGACTGCCTGTAAGTCAGGCATAACATGTAGAGATGCTAGTGCTGTTGGATGCTTCTCACGTTATTGTTTCTACTGTGACAAGCACATCGAGTGTCATGAGAGTGGTTTTGTATCACTTGTTTCTCTGATGCTGCTGGTAAAGTTTACTCGGTATTTCTGACTGAGGCATCTACCCTTTTTACTCCACCACACAAATTCAGAAAGTGGTGGAAGAGGGACATAAATGGGGAAATATGACTATCCTCACATGTCTGTCTTTTGTTTAGCTGTTCATACCATATCCGCTCACTCACTGAGCAATCATTTGATAGGCATTTCAGACCCTGTAGAGTCAAAAAGATGCACAAAATACAGCCAGTTGACTACCTTTTCCTATCTACACTTTGGCCACTCAACTGACCCTTTTGATAGTTAACAGATCCTATTGTACCTTGCTAATAATTCTAGTATATCATTTGGTGGTGGAGGAAGATAAACAGCTGATTGGATGTAGGCATTTGTATCTGCTACAGATCTTTCTATAATTAATCCAAGTTGTTAGCATCCAGTAAACCTAAATCAGACATTAAAAAAATAGAGCTTAGAAAAAAGCATATAGAAATACCATGAAATTAAAGATACTAAGTTTAGTTTCAGTAGCTGCATTGTGAAAACACAATATGAATGCATATAATATTCTAGCCTAGTAAGATAAGAAACAAATTTTTCTTAAATTCGTTATTTTTCTTCTAAATAAATGATAGTGCTGAGAATAAAATAGTTTAGGTTTCATGTCCATATTTTCTGCAGATATTATTCCAGAGAATCATGTGAAACTGAAGAAATTTTTATGTAAACCCAAGTAACAAATACATATAACTTATTCAGCAGAGAGACTTTTGGAGGCTGTATGTTTAAATTTTTCATTTTAAAGTTGAGGAGTCAAAGCACAGCGAGTTTAACTACATCTTGGTCTTTGACAGCCTGATTAGTGGCAGAGCCACTCAGGGATCTCTTCAATCCTTGTCTATTTCTTCATCTTACCTTTTGGATTCACATGGATGCAGCTTGTACTATATTTTATTCTTTTGTTTTATAGGATTATTCCACCGAGAGACTGAAGAAAACAAATGAAATATTGAAAGGCATAAAACTTCTAAAATTGTATGCCTGGGAACATATTTTCTGCAAAAGTGTGGAAGAAACAAGAATGAAAGAGTTATCAAGTCTCAAAACCTTTGCACTTTATACCTCACTCTCCAGTAAGTTGCTGTTGCTCTCAGAACAGGTGATGTTAAGAGTAAGCCATTGACACAATCTATCCAGTTTGGATTATGATCAATGAAATGCTCTTCTCAGGAAAGGAAACTGTTCATTTTCTAGACACATGGAGTGTGATAGTCACAAGCCACATAAGGCTTTTACATTTAAATTACAGACCAGGACAGGCACAGATTTAGAGTCAGAGAGGCCTGAATTGACTCCTTGTAAGTTGTATGTGCTTGGCCATGTTAATTTTTTAATTAATTAATTAATTGATTGATTTATTGTGGTACCAGGGACTGAACTCAGGACCTTGCCCTTGTCTGGCAGGTATTGCACCACTGAGCTAAATTCCAGCCCTTTGGCCATGTTATTTTACAAGGTGAAATCCTTAGTTTTTTTATCTGTAGCATGAAGATGGTGATCGTATTAGTAAGTTTAATTGAGATCTTTTATCAGTTACTACTGGGATGGTTTAATTGGTTTCCTTCCTTTTTATAAACATAAGTAACAAATATATATATATTTTTCAGCAGAGAAAATTTTTGAGACCATATCTTTGAGTTCTTCATCCTTCCTTCCTTCGGTCTGTCCATCCATCCTTCCTTCCCTTCCTTCCCAGTTAAAATTTGTTTTTGTTGCTGGGTGTGGTCAGGAGGCTGAGGCAGGAGGATCACTGTGAGTTCAAGACCAGCCTGGGCTACATAGTGAGTTCCAGGCCAGTCTCAACTACATGGTGAGAACTTGTCTCAAAAAACAAAACAAAACAAAAAAATTTGTTTTTGTTAAAAATTCATTTCTTCAAGTTGATTTGACAATATTATTATTGATCTTTTTATTTCTAAAAATTTTTTAAATTATATATAGCTATATTTGTTTTATCTATCTTTTATTAGAACTTATATTTTCATAAAGACTATACTCGAAATGCCATTTTTAAAAACGGGGAAGAAAATAAAATCATTTCTAATTTTTAAAAAAGCCAAATGGTAGTCATATAAAACTCTCTTTTCCAATACATTTTAAATTTTTCTCCTCACAATATGACTCATTACTCTCAAGAACGATGGGTCCATGTTAGTACAGCTTACAGAAACTTAACCAAACTATAGCTCCACTAATATTTGCTTTGCTTGATTTGTGTGTTAGTTCTTCTCATCTCTGTTGTCCCCAAAGTTAACAACTTAAAGTTTTATAAGCATATGTTTTATGTTGAATTGTAAATGACTCGCAATCTTAGGGATGATAAATACTTCCTCTGTGAAATACACTTAGAGAAAATATTGAGTGTGCACTGTATTCTAGACACAATGTCCAGTGTATCATGTCATATAAAGCACGTGGCAAGTCTCTACCACTCACTAATCCCTGTCTTCAGTTTCCACAAATAAAAATTGGGGAAGTGGTAATACCTGCATCATAGCTATGTTGTGAGAATTTTTTTTAAAGGCCATAAATGTGATACTGACAGCGAATGTTAAAATAGTTGATGAACAGTACTTGTAGAACACTCGGTGAAGACTACAAAATGAGAAAAAGAAAAAAGAGCAGGGACAGAGGACAGTGGATTCTTCTGGGTCTTACTCCAGTCAGATCCTGGCGCTTCAGCTCGTCAGCTGCACAACCTTGGTCAGCTGTTTGCTGAAGTCTCAGTTTCCTCGCTAGCAAACTGGGAACCGTTAATCCCACCTTGGGGAATGAAGTGAGGGCTGTGGGTATGAAGTGTTTAGAAATGGTTTCCGTGGTGTTAAAAACAAATACATGCTAAAACAAAATATCTTAAGAACAAAAGCCAGCAAAACCAAAGATCCAGCTCTGCGTTTTATGCTCAGTGCTCTTGCCACTTGAGATATCATCTGAGAGCTAAAGATACCACCTGTTGCCAAGTGGCCATGGGCTGTGTATGGGTTTTAATGCATCGGTGAAGGCAAAGAGGAAATAATTTTTATTTCTCACTCTTCACTTTGGTAATGTTTTGTATGGAGAAGTAGAAAGACCATTAGACTTTTGGAACAGAAATATCTGGGCTTTATCCAAAATCTCCTAGTTTGGGGTTTTGCATGTAACCTAAGATGTTTCCTTGTTGTAATCTTTAGATGCGAGAATGGATGTAAAATGCTCGCCTCTTACCTCAGTCATGTTGAACTGAGTATTAGCAAAACAAACTGGTGCCCCACACTGGGTAGCCAAGCTGCATAGGTTTGGATGCTGGACACACAGCAGTGAGCATTTCTTTCTCATCTTTATAATGAGATAGTGAGAGTACCCAGGACCCGAATGTGGGGCAGACTTTTTAATTGAAATGGTAGTCATTGTCCTCATTCTTACTCACCTAGAGGAAATTAGAGCTGCAGAATATAAATGAAGTGTAGAAAATGAGGAGGGCAAAAGAAAAACTTAGCTTGTCTAGAAATTGGGGACACTAGCCAGAGAAAGAAGGCTGAGGCAGGAATGTGACTCCTCTCAGCACCATTCAGTGTTTGGATCCTCAGTATTGCACAGATTCTGTATTTGATAACCAAGTCATGTCTGGATCTGCAAAAGTGCAGTCTGATTCTCTTCTGTCTACTGTGGTAGGGAGAGTTTTTAACCTCTACTCTCTTGAAAACTTACTAGAAGTTCTCACTGTGCCATTGCCTGGCCCTGTGATAGTTCACTGTATCTTTTGGGCCCTTGGTCTCTAAAATTCTGTAGTTTACAACCAGTATAATTACAAATCAACAACTTGGCTTTTTGCTTTTACTATGACTTTTTTTTTTTTTTTTTTTTTTTTTTTTTTTTTTTC